CTTTCCCTTTGTGTGCCTGAATAGTAGTTTCCATGCATGGGAGTAGTATTTTTGGTTCTTACACACTTGTTGCAATTCAGTTCCCCCTACACTGTGGACACATAAGCATGCACATGTAGACTGACCATGTGCAAGGCCCAAATATGAGCATGTACACTCAGGTCATGAAAATGTAGCTGCCCCATTGGAAACAAGGGTCTAACCTAGATCCCAGGATTTCCCCCATCTAGGGGACCAGGCATCTTACTGAGCCACATCCCTTCTAGCTTGCTCTCCTGATTCAGCAGCCACATATCACCCTCTCTTAGTTGTCCAGGGAGCCAGCTTCAGAAAGGACACAGGAAAAGGTCCTGGACAATGCCTAACCTCTGGTGTGGTGGTGTAACAAGCCATTATTGCAATGGTGTTGGGACATTGGGGTGCCCCTCAGCCTCAGGCCTTGGTCCACTGTTCTTCTGCTTGCTGAGTGAAGACAGAGTAGGTTTCACCCTTGAGATAACTCCTTATCCCAGCAAACCTCCATCTTATCTGCCCCAGACCAGATCTTGCAGCTGCAGCAGAGGAAGTTTACCAACTTTGGGGGCTTACACCCTTTGATTTGAAAAATATAGTAGGTCCTCATTCCTGTAGGAGTAAAATGCCTGTAGCTGTTAATTGCTCTGAAACCACACCTACTGTAGACAATTAGTAAGGTGTGTAAAACAGCAAAAAAGATTTATTACACAAGCAACATAAATCATACAAACAAGTTTAACTGGAAGTTGGGAAAACAGAATGCCAGAAATGAACAGAGAGATTACCTTGCTCTGCTTTTTTCTTGCTAGAAAGCAATCCTTTTCCTCTGCCCAAGGAACAGTTGTCCTGTCCTTCTTATGCCAACTCCTTTGATTTTTCTTCTGTAACTAAACCAGATTATGGAGCTCTGCTTCATTCTCCTGCTGCTGTGTGTGGTCTTTTCCCCTACCCCCTGCTCCAGGCTGCAGAGCTCTTGTGGTCGCCCAGCAATCTGGGGACGGAGATGCTCCTGGGTTTCCAGCTGTTGCTCCTTAGAGATCACTCCAGGCATTGCTACTCCAAGATCATCCCTGACCAATGCGTGTTTAAACTGTTCTTGAAAACCTCCAATGATGGAGAGTCCACAACTTCCCTAGGCAGTCTATGCCACTGCCTCGCTATTCTAACAATGAAGAAGTTTGTCCTGCTATGCAGTCAAAGCATATTTTGCTGCAGCCTCTCGCTATGTGGTCCACAGCCTGCTCTCTGCAGGAGAAAAGGTGTTTTCCCCCCTCCACATAGCAGTCCTGGGGGCTGAAGTCGCACGGGTGCTAAGGCACACAGTTGTATAGCCTAGAGAGGTTGCAAGTTTGACACCATAGCAGAAGTGCTCATGGTGTGACCCTGTCAGATTGCAATGAATCTGCAAATTCCACTAAATACCTTGTTACAAGGACATGAAAAAGAAACGAAAGAATAACAGGCCTTTAGATGTTTGAAGGCAGCTATTATGTCCCTTCCTAATTATCTTTTCTGCAAGATGAACATGCCTATTTCTTTCAACCTTTCCTCATGTGACTTGTTTTCCAAACCCTTAATCATTTTTATTGCCTGCCTCTGGGCCCTCTCTAACTTAACACTGAACGTTATATCACCTTTCTGGCTGATTGAGATGTATAGCAATCTCAAATGTAAACTCTCAGAGATTCATTTCCCTTCTGCAAGCCAGGGTTCCTCTATTGTCTGGTCTGAAGATATTCCTGATGCTTGCTTTAGCAACCACTTCATTGAACGATTCAAGTCATATCTTAAATATAGAAAATAGAGTCACATCAAATAGCATAGTTCATACAAACATACATGATAACCCTGAACGTAGTTTAGCACTAGCTGTAAATAGAGAAAAATAGAAATTCCCAAATAGAGTACGGGAAAATATCTAGGCATGACACAAGTTGAACCCCCAACATTGGTGCTGTATTTGAGAGGATCTTTGAGAGGTGGTTAGAGCATTGTGCTGCAGAACTGAAAGATGGGGTTAAAAAAATCTCTGGATAAGGATGGGGGAGATGTGGAGGGAGTCACGGTCTCCTGCTTCCTGGGCAAGTGCCCAAACCACTCATATATTAATGCTAAAAAATAGGAGGCTGTCTTCTCTTTCCTGGAGGTATGCATGTAAGTGACATGTCTGTCTGCCCAGGATGTTGTTTTCTGCACATGCTCATGTGTCCACAGCGCAGGGGTGTGCTTAACTGCCAAAAAACACCACTTCTGTAGACAGAAAACTGACACTGAGGTGCACAAAAGGAAGTAGATTTGTAATTACCAGATGTTATTGCCCCTTCACTCTGGATTGTGTTTAACCTGGATACAGATGATCACCAGAAATGACCTCTCCCCTTTTGAATTGCAGGGGCTTGGAAGGCAAGTGGATCATCTTCAGAGCCTTTGAAATCATAGAAAGCCCAGCTGGGTGGCAGTGTTATAAATGGGGTAAAAGTGAGGTGCAGCAAGCTTGCTTTAGAAGAGCTCAGTTGGCTACCCCAGCAGGACACTTAAATTCAGGGGTATTGAAACCTAGCTGGTTCCTGTCCTGTCCCAACGTACAGTATTGGGCCTGGCTGGACACTGTAAAAATGAGTTTTCTCTTGGCCTTGAGTATTTTGGGGTGGAGGGTAAACTTGCAGGCTCTGTTCCATGGATTGTATCTCCTCTTACTCTGCACAGGACCCTCTGAGCAGGCTAGAGAGAGACCTGTCTCTGCAGATGCAGATTGTGCAGGCTGCTCATCACCTCTTCATGGAGGAGAACATTAGCAAGCAAATCAAGAAGCGGAGGAAGAGTGCTGTGCTGAAGGAGGAGAAGAAGATGAAAGAGCTGGAGAATGCCCTCAATGAATGCCGTCTAATGGCTGGACAGAAGCTCATGCCCAAGGCCAGCACCACAACCACTGAGGGTGAGCCACGTGCATCTGCAGCTCTCAGCATACTGCTCAATCAAAACCTTCTCAGCTTTAGAGAGTGGGCATGGAAGCCATTTGGGGCAGCTCCATATGGTCAGCCAAAGGTCAGCTCCTCTCTGACTTGCCTAGCACCCAAAGAGCAGCTTGGCTCTATGTCTAGCTGTGCCACTGACCAGGCTCTCCTGGGAGCTGGCACTGAGTGCCTCCACCAGCTGTAGGGTTTGTCCTGCCCACCCCCCAGGACAAGCAGAGCCCTTTGGGAAGCAAAATGTGTCCCACAGCTGCAGCCTGCCCCAGTGGGCGAGAGATGACACCTGTAACTCCATAACAGCATGCACTAAGCTGTGCAGGGAATGCACTTAGGCTTGCAGGGGTTGCCCAATGGGTGAGCCCTTCCAAAGTCAATCTACAGCTCCCCCCCTACATGGCTTTCCATGTTGCCTTACACATCTTGCCCCTGGCTTGGTCACACTGCCCATGGACAGTCATACATACCAGGTTTGAAAGGGCTTAGCAGTAGATATGAAGAAGGGAAGCACTGATTATCTGGTCCCTGCAATGTGGGGATTCCTCCAGGACTCCTGAAGTTAAGATGTCCTGAGCATTCGATCTTACTACCTTTATATTAGTTGCCACAAAATAGCTACCAGTTATAAGGCTTCCCCTCAGTTTATGGCAGCATATTCTAGAGTTAAAACTATTCTAGCTAAAAGGCAAAGGCCATGGGGTGAGTGAGTGGGGCAATGCGCCCATCAAGTTTTCCCTAGAACTAATGTAGATGCTCCCTACAGTGTCCTTAGCTGGGAATTCTGGTTTTTATCTTGTTAATTCTGTTACCCATCCCACTTTTTCTTGAGGGCGAACACACTCTCCTCCAGCTTCATGTTACCGCCTAGAGTTTCTTTTCTCCAAAACTTACGGTTTCTCCTCTAGGACTGCCATAGCCTGTCTGTCTCCATCAAAATTTCCCTTGTGTTACCCCAGTGAAGGGCTGTGGTCAAGGCCAAAGACAGCAGTGTGCTTAATTAATTAATAATATTTTATATTTTTACTGGGCCTCAAACCTCTTTGCATACATTAATCCAGGGGTTGTCAACCAGGGGTTTTTGGTGTATCCCCAGGGGTACTTGGAAAGGTGCTAGGGGGTACACGTGAGCAGGCAGGGATGGAGCGCCACCAACCACACCCCATGCCACCGCCTCCCAGAGGGCAAGGGCAGTGGCTCCCGTCTGCCCAGCTGGCTGGACATGGGGAGTGGGGAGCTTGCACGCAGCAATGGCCACCACCATTCACCACCCCACACCACCACGTGCAAGCCCCACCCCTGCTCTGCATCCAGCTGCTGCCACCAGAAGGTGTACACTCCATAAAAAAGGTTGAAACCCCCTGCATTAATTGGTTAAAACTTCACAACAGCCCTGGGAGGCAGCTAGCTATATGGAGATATATGTGGCTGAGAGGTAAATACAGATATTTTGAAGCATGTCTGAAATGCAGCCTCCTCTTGGGTAAGGGACAGAATGCAACAACGAATAACCAGCAACAAAGAATAGTCTCCAAGTGAAACCAAAGAGTCTGGGATGGGTTGGAAGGATGGAGTTTACGCTGGAATTTGATCTGTGATGCAGCTGAAAAGGAATGTTTTTATCTACTCATCTTGTTCACAGTTTTGCAGTGTCCTGTCTACCAGACAGCTGGGCAGATCAGAGGCTGCTGCAATTGCACAGACTCATCTCAAAGGAGAGAAGGGGAATTCTAGATGCCATGACCCTCTTACCATCCTGTCCCCTTAGATAGGTCAGCCAGAGTGCCTGCAGGAAATGGATAGGAGAGAAAGCGCTGCTAGGGAGAAGACAGTTCTGTCTAGGCTCTCTGGTCTGGCATTTTCCAGGGGGCATCCTGAGTAAATGCTTGGAGGTGAGGCTGAGCTTCCCCCATCATGAAGAATGCAAGCTGTGGGCAGCTGAAGTTGAAAGTGTATAAGAGATACCTCTTCTTCATAAATTTTCTCACCATGTCTCACCTCTTCCTCTTGAGGACATGCAGCCACTTCCTTTCTAGCACATGAGAAACTTTGGGAGAAATGTTTCAAATACACCTGAGGAGCTTAGGAGTACATGCAGCATGGGCGACTGGTGCCTCCCAAGTCTGGGGGGGCACCAGATCACCAGCGGGGGGGAGGGGGTCCCCCAGCGGCTGATCGCCGAGCCAGCGGCGAAACCAGAAGTGCACTTTTGGTTTTGCAGCTGGTGCTTCCAGGGGGTGCGCAGCCGATCTCAGGGGGTGCACATGCACCTGTGTGCACCTGCTACACATCACCAATGCATGCATGCATGTAGTTTTGATGCTCAGGGGGTTCTACACTCCTGAATTCAGAGTCCTTATCCAGATCTCTTCTCCAGCACAGTTTTTTTTCCCTTCTCTCATCTGTGTTGCTTCCCCTATTTTTTCCATCTAGAGCTGAGCATATCAGATGATAGCTCCTTGTTGGACACCAACCTGCAGGAAGAAGGTAAGGCATTGACTTGATGCTGTAGCCAGTGAGAGCCACTAAATCAGTGGGGGCTGAATGGGTAGAGCAAAGCCTGGCATGCTCCTGAGATGCTGCATGGGTGGTGTGTGGCCTAAATCTGAGTTGTCTGCTTCATGCCCACTGGAAGCCCTGGTCTGAGTGCTATTTGATTTGAGCAGAACCATGCAAGTACAACTACAGGGGTGGACTTCTGGGCCATAACAGGACTGGAGCTCAGACCTGCAAGGAGGGGACATGTTTTACTATGCAGTTTTCACTGTCTTGGTCCATGATGGCATATCATATCATTCCCTTTCAGAGTACTGCCAGGCTCCAAATCATCAGACTGTCCCAGAACTCCTGGTGCCAGTTGAACCAGGCACCCCGGCTCTGTCCTCCTGTTTGGCCCATCCCAAGAAACACAAGGGGCCACAGCCCACGTGCTGTGAAATAGCAGGGCTGGAACGCACACCTATCCAGAACAGCCCGTGGAAAGAGACCAGCCTTGATAAGCCATATGAGAAGCCCAAGAAGCCATCTTTGGAGTCTAGCAATGTATCAAGGTATAGGTCCTATGTGATACCACCCCTCTCACCCCTGTCTCTACTTTGGGGATCCTGCCATCCAGTCTGTGTTTGGATCTTGAGGATAAGACTGGGAACATACCTGTGTAAAGGAAAGAAACAGTTTGGCTTCCTAAGGCAGAGAGTTAAAAAACCAGGTGGTCAGTGTTGTCCCGTGGGCAGCACCATTCCCTCTGAGCTGAGCTATGTTAGGGTGGCCTCTGTGCATCTGTCAGCTGAGTCCAGGAACTGAGGTCATAGAGACTTACACTGAGTATAAATCCTTTGGCACTCGTTCTGAGAGCATTGTCTTTATACCTCGTATCCTGGCCAGATTCCAGCTAACCATGGCGTTTTTGCTTGGTTGTGGTGCTCTTCATTCCTTGTACTAAAATGTTGTGTTCGGTGCTGCTGCTGCTGCTGCTTTCCACGGGTGCACAGACAGGTATTTGGCCTTCTCTCCCACATCTCCTGATGAAGGTATCGTCTTCCTTACACTGGTCTTATTCAGTTTCAGTTGCTTTATAAACCCATACTAAGTGGAAGTTTCTATGAACACATTACTGGGATGAACATCTTTTCCATTTTCTCTTCCTTTCCTTTCTTTGCCTTTCCTTCCTTTTTATTTCTTATAGGGAGTGTGATGTCCTTGGGTGGAGCACTGGTGCTAGGAGCTGAACCTTTGATTTCTACATCTAAAAAGCACATGCCTATATTGCCAGGCCTAAAGGAGCCAGATGTTTTAACCTGAAGGCTGTAGTACTCCTAAGGCTCTGCGAGTCTGAACTTTGTGGACAGCCAAAAAGTCTGTCTACACTGCAGCCACTGCCTCATCCATAGAAGCACTAGGTTCTGGTTAGATGAGGACAGAGTCCTACCTCTCAGCTCTCACATATCCAACCTCACACAGCGTGACTCTGGATCCGAGGCCCAGCATGGGTTCACTGCCGAAGTATTTACCCGGCTTCTCAGATTAGTTTTTGTCGCTTGCATTGAGCTCCACACTTTTTCAGCTACACCGCCAGTCTTAGATACGATACGGCTGGCTTGAGGATGTGTGCACCTACTGCAGTGACATCATACCCAGAGCCACACTGCTGGAGAGTGGGTTAATGACAGAAGGGGACAGGGGCTCTGTCCTCATCTAACTGGAATTCAGTCCTCTGTTACCAGGCAAGGAATCATGCCAGTATTGGGAGACGCTGGCTGTCAGCTGTCCCACATCTGTCTCTGCTTGCTGTGTTTCTCCCCGGCATCCCAGCTTTGATGCTCTTCCCAGTATGTGTGCCCAGCCGTGCAATTCAAAGGATGTCCAAAATGCCCCTATACTCATTGTCCCCAACTATGCACAGGCCTGGGTCCAGGACTCTGCCAACATTAGAAATTCAAGGCAGGAGGGGGTAGTCCCAATTCATAAAGTGATACACAGAGACAGGATTGGCATCAGGGGCAGAACTGAGCTAGGTAGACAGGGAATCAGATAACTAGGCCTGTCCAGAGCAAAAGAAATCAGTGGGATCTAGTGGGTTCAGCACTGGACTTGGAATCAGCCAGCCAGAGTTCTGTTCCCAGCTCTGGCACTGGCATGCTGGGTGACCTCGGCCAAATCACTTCCCATCCTTCTGCACCAGTTTTCACTAGGGGTGCACTGATAAAGATTTTCTTGGCCAATATCGATAGCTGATGATTAACCAACCAATCATATCGGCCAATGCTGATCTAATAACCAATATTTAGTAATAGTGCAAGGCATTTTAAACTACTAATATAAATAAACCTTTTTGTTTTTGGTTTGTTTTGCATTTATAACACACACACATCTACATACTCCGGCTCTTGATGAGGAAGGCAGTGATTGCCATATTCGCACGCACGTCACCCCTTCACGCATGGCTCCTACCCTCTCCCCATGCAGCCTGTGCTGCCATCCTGGGCAAGCAGGGCAGACCCTTGGGCGAACAGCAGCACTGGGCACATTTAGAGCCCCAGAGCATGCTGCTGCCTCAACACCAGTGGCCCTGTGCAGCACAGCTCCTGTGGCTGTGGGGAAGAAGTCCCTTTTGCAAAGGCGCCCAGTGCCCAGTGGTGTAGGATGTCCCTCACGTGGCACGTTACCCTTCCTGCACACAGCCCAGCATCTCCACAGCAGTCCCAGCACTCAGACCCTGGCCATGGCAGCTGCAGCAGGAGGCAGGAATGGTCCCTTTGTTGCTGAGTACAGTGCCCTGTGACTGCTCCCAGGCACCCCCTCCCACTGCTCACTGGGACCTGTAGTCTGCCATGGGCTCAGACCAGCAGTGGGATCTGGGGACTGGACTTCACTCACTGGAGTGCTCTGGGCACGTGGCCTTAATTATCAGCCACAATGATAAAAAAAAAGCCAATAGCTGATAATGTTGTTTCTCCTTTTATCGGTGCCAGTCTAATAGCCAACTGATATAAGGGTGCACCCCTAGTTTTTGCCCCTCCACCCCTCACTTCTCTGTGCAGACTGTGAGCTCTCAGGGGCAGCAGCTCTATCCAGCACCCAGTACAATGCATCCCTGATTCTGGTTGCCAGCCTTGGTTTCTACTCTAATAGGAATAAGGGCTTGTCAACACAGGAACACTCAGAGAACTTAATATGAATTAACTACAAGTGTGACTTCTAATAGATAAATAATTAGTGAAGTAAACTAAATCAAACTAAATCCACTCTAATACTGAATGGCAGTGTCTATGGGCATCTATGCATGTACTTGGGGGGGAGGGGGTTCTTTAATTAGAGCGGCTCTAATTAAAGCACTCACAGCATGACATGTATTCAGTGCTCCATGCTTCAGAATGGTGGCGGGGGCACTTAAACTAGAGCATGTTGGATGATCTTTAGTTAAAGTGCCCCTGCCACTATTTTGAAGCTTGGGAATGCTGAATAGATGTGATGCGGAGGCTGCTGGAGCACATTAATTAGCATGCTCCAGCAGACTCAATTAATCATACCAGAGCAGACATCTGGCACATGTATAGATTCCCTATGTGAGGATGTAATGCAGTTTAAGTTATGCACTTTAAAAGTTGATTCAGACCCATTTTCCTGAGTGTCTTATGTAGATAAACCCTAAGAGAGGTGATAACACTGAGATCCTGGGAGAAATACAAATGGTGTGCATTTTACATACAATGTCAATGAGATGGGGGAGCACAGGAAAGAGT